AATATATTTATTTTATCTTTTGGAATACCTTTCTAAAATACAAATTTTCTAAACACAAATTAATTACAAATCCCTCCAGCTATGTATTTGGTCGTAATGCTCCCACTGTAATAAGCACTTCAAGGCCAAACTAGTTTGAGGAAAAGCTATAAAACGCTGTGTAGCACATTGCACTATAAAAAAGTATGCTTGACCCATTTGTCTTGAATACCGGGGATTCACAAGCAGACTGAGTTATTATTAACACACAAGCCAACTAAATATATGTATGTATAATGGCTAAGGTTTATGTTTTAATTGTTTACAACTCAAGCACCAAAAATAATTTTATGACACATTATATTTTTTAATTAGAATATTTGTCGCGACAATGTAATTTTTTAGCCCTAACACATTTTTATTATGTCAACTTGCGAGCGTGAAAGTGCGTTGGATATTGTGAAATTTAGTATTTTTCCAGGCAAGGCGGCAATAGCGCTCAGATCAACATACATACATATAAACGTGTATGTGTACTAATATATATAACTCGTGTGTTTGTCATATAAACTCGCCGGTTTGCATTTACGCCAGCTCTTGGGGCGCTCAGCGCGGCTACTTGGCGCGCGCATGCAATAGACTTAAGCAACGAACGCGCTTAAGCTACATTACGCGCATGCGCGAGCTCGGAATTTGCAGTGCGTGTTAGACAGCGCAATAGTAATCAAAGCAGTGACGATTAGAGTACAGCAACTAAGTTGCATATATGTATAGATACATGTATACAAACATTGGTATATAAAGTTTCATATATTATATGTGCTTAAATGTATATATATATATATACGCATTAGTGCGTAATTATGTGTGCATGCACACAAAACGGTATTCGCCAACAGCAGACTCATTGAGAACGCAAGCAGCTAACAATCTATTTGTCCGTCCGCCACTCTTGCCCATACGCCACTCAAATCCTACTTTCTATAATTAGAGTACTCTATGGCATCTGTAGCTGTTGTTGTTGTTGCTGTTGCTGTTGCCGTTAATTATAAGCTCGCGTTTTCGCTGGCAGCGAATTTCCATAACACACGGCATTTAGTTGTTAAGTGCGAATTGTGTTTCACTTTTCAAATATGAGCAGAGAATTCAAGTGAAAAAAGCAATAATCTTTTAACAATTAACACTTGGCAAATTATAAGTGAATTAGACAGGAAAGTCATTCACGCCATGGAAATATTAACAAACGCAAATGTGTGTAGGAATGTTTGTGTGTATTTCTTGTGATGGCTTATAGTTTATCTGCAGACTTAAGTGTGTGTGTATGTGTGTGTGTGTATGACAATCATTTCGTACTAAATTTCTCGCATTCTTGTTGGCCTCTAATGTGCGTAACTCGACAGGAAGTTGGTTTGATGTGTGTGTGTTTATGTGTGAGCAGAGTGGTTCACAAAACCTGCGTGCGCTGTATTGTATGCAATTATTTACAAGTTTTCTAAATTCGCAACTAGCTTTTTCAAACTGCAAGCAAGTAGAAGCAATTGATATGATACTCTGGTTTATGTGTATCAAGTACCGTTATGATTCTTTTTATATATTGTATTTAGAGTAAATCAGTTAGCAAGCATTGATATTAGAATAGCTATTTCTTGATAACTAGTTCAAACAAGCTTGAAACTTTTAAAAGACAGATACATTTTTATTTAAACGCTTTTCATGACAGGCGAGATTTATAGTATAAATATATAATTTTCTATACCCCTGATTGGTTGTGGTAGTTTTTTGCATTTTCGGAGAAAATTGAGATTAGTAATCTATATATTTTGTATATCATCTGAAAGTAGAAATTTCAACAAAAATAAATCCTAGTGACTGTGAACTAAATTCGGATATTTCGAATAGAGATTTTTTTAATGAAAATTAGGTTTTTTCGATTTTAAGTCGAAATAAGGATGAATTTATTTAAAAAAAAATTAATTAAGTAATTAAATGCAGTGTTTTTGAGACATAAAAAAGTAAATTTACACAAATTCCGTAGAAGAATTTTTTTGTACAATACAAAAAAAAAAATCAAAAATTTAGATATTTGAATTTTTTATATAAATTTTAAGGTTATGTGAAAAAATTGTCAATACAGTAGTTGTAGATACTTTCACTGTCCACATTTTTGTCATATAACTTTTTTATATTAAGCGCGTAGATTTGGCCAAACAACGATATGTGGCCTTTTTTGCCCTTAAAAAATCAACCACGCTCCTCCTCTTCATCATCTGGAGCTCAGATCGGCTGTAAATTATTTTTCCTCTCGTTTTTGTTATTGTATGTTCCGTTTTTCGTTCTTGATTTTCCGTTTCCATTGGGTTTCTTTATAACATGATATTTTTTGTTTTTAAAAATTACCTTTCCTGGTCTGAAGCTATTGTTTTGAGGTTATCAAAATAACGAAAAAAAAATCAAAAGAAGAAATGCGACAGTATTTTTTTTTTAAATTTGCAATTCCATAAGAAAAAAAGTGTTTTAAATATTATTTTCTTATTATTTTCTTAGCAGTGCTATGTAGACTACTTATTGTTGTTTATACGGCCTCAAAAAATGTATATTAATTTATTTTTACATTAATGTTGACTTTGACTTGCCTATATTGAATAACATACGAAATCGTGCTACGAAACTATTTTTTAGAAATTCCGACAGCTGGCAACTCTAACGCAAAATATGTACAAAATTAAATATTTTGTGTTTCGTTAAATTTATTATCTTAATATCTACATATACATATGTATTAGATAGGTGGCAACTCTATCATATTCAACATTTGGCAACTCTGTAACAAAATGGGTCCAAAATTAAATATGGTTTTGTTAAATTTATTCTCTTTAAATCTATATATATATTTTTTTTTAATGTTTTTTTCGATAGGTGGCACCTCTAACCATACATTTATTTTAATTAAAAATATACCGAAAATTTTCGGAATTATTTAAAAGCAAAATGTTGCTTGTATGCTATAATGAGTATTCGCCTTGCGGTTTCTGGCACGAAATAAATACTACAATTCTATTTTTTTTGTTTGTTGGCAACTCTACTTCGAATTTGGCAAATCAAAACATCTTTTTGCTGTAGCTTTTGCTTTTGCTATAGCTTTCCAAATTTCCAATACCAAAAAAAAAAAAAAAAAAAAAAAAAAAAAAAAAAAAAATAAAAAAAAAAAAAAAACGAAGTACCTTCTTAGCCAGCAGGCAATTCGTTTCAAAAATAGTTTTACAAACACCATCTCAGTTCCGAATATCAAATTTACTACTGTACCTTTGTTTTCATATTAAGGTTACAAAATAAGAATATACTCGGCACAAATATTGCCCTAGCACAGATAGATTTTTCACAATCCACTTGTGTGTGCTCTAATTCTTTCAAGTGCAGTAACATTTATCACTTGCTGCTTACTTCTGCTGTTTACGCACGCATAGCGAACGAGCGCATAATTATGAGTTAGATCAATGATAACAATTTAGCGCTAATATGTACGGCCAGCAGTTTAATCAAATTATGTTAATAAAAAAATTCAATAAAACAGTAATAGCAAAAAGTAAAGCAGAAAGCTTTCACTCGCCAAGTACAACTCCAAATGATGTTAAAGAGGACAAATTGGCAAGTGATTAAGATAAGAGTGAAACATTATACATATACATGAGGGTAAACTGATTTATTATCATCTAACACGAAAAGGTATTTTTCTGAGTTTTCGAGTGTTACAAGCATAACAAAGTACAATAATCAAGTTTCGTATTATAACTTCTTTAAAATGTCTTCATATTGTTTTCTCAATTCTCAGCACTCATTAACCGTTAAGGGCTTAATTGTGTCACAATAATCAAAGTGTAAATAAAACGTGTGCAGCCTAAAAATGTCACGAAAAATCACTCATAAAATGCATGAAATATTAGTTAGTACTCACTAAGACGCGCTGAGCTTTGTTCGAATTCTAGAAAATCATACCAAAGTACTATGTAATTCGGACACACTTAATGAACCAAAGCAAAAGTCCAAAATGCCAAGCATCTTGACATGCATTGTCATGCTTCAAACAACAACAACAACAACAAAAATAGCAATAATATTAAGAAGTAAACGAAAACACTTGAGCGTGCACTTACCACTGTTATTCACATCAATTGGCTTAAATCCATTTGTCACCTGCACTAATGCGGCCACTACACACACGGTTGTTAGCAGCCACATGGCGAAATTAATTGAAGTTGATTTGGAGGTCAGCGCATGCGCTGCCGTCGCTGGTGTTTTTGTTGTTGTATTCACTGTTGTTGCTGCTGTTGACTTTTTGGCATTCGTCGTCGTCGTCGTCGTCGTTGTTGTCGTTGTTCTTGTTGTGGATAGCCACGCGCTGCGGCGCGTCGCCTTGCTAACCCACTTCAGCATTTCAGCGCTATTCTGAAGTGCAGATTAGAACAATTTCCACGGCACAGAATTTTGGCAAAATATTACAACAACAAATTCGTTGCTTTTGTTACAAAGTTTGGTTTGTTTTTGTTTATTTTTCGATTTTTGTTTTTCTTATTTTTTGTATGCCTTTTATTGTATGTCTTTGAATAAGATTTTGCGGTCAATACGCGATTTGTCGAAGTTTTCAATTATTTTTCTATTTAATAAGTTTTGTTTGAGTTCGCCATGCGTTCGTCGTCGTGACAATTATTTATTTGCAATGCTGTTGAGTTAATTGTTGCGTTCTGGAGCACAGAAAGTAGACTTAGAAAGGTGAGTAGAAATTAACACTGTAAAAGGAAAAGTGGTTAGTTGTAGAGAGCGTGTGTGGTTGCTTAAAGAATGTAGAACAATTACTATTTTATAATTAACTATTTATTGGTTATTTTTTAAAAGGAACTAAGATTTATTGTTTTTGTTTTTTAAGAATTGAGAAATATATTTTGTTTTGCGTAACTGTTATTTTAGCACAAATTGAATATTATTTTTTTGAAGATGACATATTTTCTTTGTTATTCGCGTAGAAATATTTGTTTATACATCAGAATGTTTTTCGAGGTTTTGTATTAAACTTATAATAAAACCATTAAAGAAACTGTTGAATTACAGATTGTGGAGTGATATCTGTTTAAGCAGTGGTGTCGACATCATTTTATAATATTAGGATTTGTAAACTGGCATTCGCTGAGTTATATGATATTTTAATGTTTTTGTGTTCCGAGGGTTTTCGTTATTTCGTTTCGAATTATTTCTGTAAAATTTTCCTTTTTTTGTTTTATTTTATTTTATATGCGTTATTTATAATTTTATATTTCTTTTTCCTTACAAGAAACTAAAACTGATTTTTTTAGTTAGTCTCAACCTAAAAGTTTAGATCTTGCACCTATAAAGTGCGTTCCAAAGTAAACAGAACCATTTGAATCTAGCGCTCCTGGTGGCGCCATCTATATGTCGAGTGGTGCGTTAGAATCTGCTATATCTTTATCGATTGTCTAGTGAGCATTTCTTGACATGTCATCGATTCGAAGTGAAGTTATTGCGTTTTAATTGTCAGTAAGTTTGTGTTGTCGGTGCGAAAATGAGCTGCGAAAAAAGAGTCAATATTAAATTTGGTTTTAAAATTGGTTAAACTGTTACCGAAACGTTTCCATTGGTGAAACAATTTTATGGCGTTGATTGCCTATCCCGTAGCAGAGTGCACGAGTGGTTTCAACGTTTTCAAAGTGGTCGTGATTACATAAATGACAATCAACATGTGGGCCAATCAAAATCCGTGATCCCCGGAAATTCCAGAGAAACTGTGCGTGAATTCATCAAAAATCAGCTGAAATCATCATTGAAATTCATGGAAATGGAATTGAACATCTCCAAAACATCGATTTATCGCATTCAGACCGAACATTTGGGCTTACGAAAGATGTGTGCACGGTTTGTTCCGCACAAATTGACTGACGACCAAAAATTGCTCAGAATCCAACATTCGATGGACGATTGTTTGAGCAAAAATCACATTTTAACCATTAAATACTCCCCGTATTCACCTGTTATGGCACCGTGCGACTTCTTCCTTTTCGGAAAAATGCATTTGGCCATGAAAGGAAGGCATTATGCAGACGTAGAGGCCATTCAAAGGGCTTGCACCGGCATATTGGCGGCCATACCGGTCATCGAGCTAAAGCACTCATTCGACATGCTTTTGGACCGTGCAAAAAGCTGTATTGAAGCAGGATGGGGCTATATTGAATTAGATAAAATGATTTTGCTGAAAAACCCGTTTGTTCTGTTTCTTTTTTAAGTTCTGTTTACTTTGGAAAGCACCTTGTAAATCTTCTAATCTTTACGGAAAATCGTCAGGACCGGTTTATAGAGCATTAAATTTCTTACAAAATCCACAAAACGAAATATTTTTTCAAGATGATAGGGAATACAAGAAAACTGTAAGCTAGCGGATCTTATCATTTAAATTAAGAGCAAACAAAAAATAATCGTTTCTCTTTTACCTATCCGAATATATATATCGTTAACGAGAAGAGCTGAGTTCATTTTGCCACATATAATATGTATGGCTGTGTATACACGAACACTAATGCCTCAGTTTTTAAAATATCGTTCCGAAATTTTACTTACGTCTTCTATATTCAAATAAGTTGCTTATTTTTCGGAATCGCCGATACCGTATCACAATGTCTCATAGCTGACTTTTTATTTGTGATTTGTGTTTTCACGAAATTTGGCATGAATTATTTTGTTTAAGACAATTTTTGAATCTTCAAAGAAATTGTTCAGATCATATCAGTAAAGCATATAGCAAACTGACCATTCAATATCAAGTTTTTTAAAGAATATTTTGTATTTGTGAAAGTTTTTATAGCTTTGTTGCAATCGAAGTTAACGTTTTTCCTGTTTAAAGTATTTTTAATCTGCTGAGTTAGATAAATACTGTTCCAACTGTACCATTTCATCAAATTTAACCTGGACAGGTTCATTTTAACTTCACTAGAACTTTGATTCGCTGGAATTGTGTTCTTAGATTTCTACAATTTGTTTTTAATTTTCTTATGAAGTTTTATCTTTACTCTTCATCTAAACTAATAAGCATGTGGGATCCACACAGGATGGTATACTAGGGGAGGTATCGATAATGAGGCCGTAGAGGTTGCTAAAATTCGATCAAAAATCCCAATTGATGACTACTTCTCAAGGACCTCGTAACTGATCTCCATCTGTTATGGCAAAGAACCAAACTGGTCTATGCGCGGCTTATTGGCCTACCAGCTTAAACAAATATAATCTACTATACGAATATCACGAACATAAGTCCTTGAATGGAAGTAAGGTTGAAGTCCTTGAAAATTTGCTTGTGCATCAACCGTCTGTTAGTGACCGTAACATCAAAAATCAAAACAGTTAAAGATATGGTGCTTGGAAATTGTCGTGTTGAGATCTGAAAAATAACTAAGAAGCTCAACAATTTTCAAGAATCAATTCGGTTCCTTTTGGTTAATGTTAAATGTAGCTGAGGGTCTCACATTTATCAAACGCATTATTCGTTACGAGACGTAGGTTTATGAATACGACTTCTAAGCTGCCCGACAATCTAGTGAATGAGCCTGCATCTCTTCTGTGGCCTTTCCTCATAAAAAAATTTAAAAAAATTTTTTAGCAAATAAACAATACACCAAAAGCACAAGGACAGCACAGCCGAGTTATTGCTATATTTTGAAGGCTATAAGAAAGGTATGTATTAAAATACGTGAATTTTTTCTTTGCTTGTCCGGGTCAAATTTGATCAGGTGTATCAGGTATCTTCTTCTTGGATTTTAAAATGCTTTTATGACACTTTTTCTTAAATTTGTGCAAAAAATTGTAAAAAGTTATAAAAATTTAACTTTCAGATTCCGTTGTATATAATTTTCCTCGTCCTATTTTTTTGATAACATTTCTCGGTAATGAAGATTCATTCTGTGCCCACTTTAACAGTACAAGTTTGACTTTTATATTTTTATTGAAAGGCTACATACATATATGTTTGCCCTAATAATTTTTTTTTTTTTGATATTTAAACAAATTTTCATTTAATTATTTGTTTATGCTGCCAAAT